ATGCAGGATCCGAAATAAATTTACCTAATACGGTGGAGATTGAAAATGGCCGGGTTCTTGCGAAAGCAATAATTTTGGGTGAATCTATTATTGAGCAAGTTCCTGCAGCTGAAATCCTTATCACCGCAGTGACTCCAGATGCAAAGACTCCTGAAGGTGCTGATTTGAAAGCCTCTGAAGTTGTTATTCAGTTGCCTACTGAGAAGAATCTAAGCAGAGGAGGCAGCCGCAGTGTCTTTGAGTTGGATTGTATACCTCTTTGGGGTTCTGTGTCCATTTGTGGAAGAAGACCTGAAATGGAAGATGCTGTTGCTGTTGTACCACGGTTCATGAAAATTCCCATCAAAATGCTTATTGCTGATCATGTCATTGATGGAATGAATCAAAATCTAACTCACCTTACTGGCCATTTTTTTGGCGTTTATGATGGTCATGGTGGCTCTCAGGTGCGTATTCTTGTCAGATGATGATTTATGATTGTGAAATAACGTTGTAATATTGAATGCACTTCATGGGATATTCAGTCTCAACTGTCTAAAATTTTGACAGATTCCTAAATTATGCATTGCATGTGTGGTTGGACTATATAGTAACTACTATTACAGCAGTCTACAAATAAATCATAAGATATTGTCAAATTTATAATTGATTCTGAATAGATTTTTTTAGTTACATTCTGCAACAGTCTGCAAATAATCATTAGATCTTGTATTCCTAAGCTATTATCATATGAGTTTTAGTGGCAAAACATATCTGTCTTATAATAACATGGACTAGGGAAGTTCCTTGACATACTGATTGGAGGTTGTTCATTCCAAAACTGTCAATTTTGTGTGCACTGATGGGAGATACCTCATGCAGGTTGCTAACTACTGCCGTGACCGGATCCATATAGCTTTGGCTGAAGAAATCAGAAGTACCAAAGATGATTTAAAAGATGGGATTAGGGGAGAGAATAAGCATGTGCAGTGGGAGAAGACGTTTAATAGTTGTTTTGTAAAGGTTGATGATGAGATTGAAGGAAAAGTTAGCAGAGATAATGGAGATGGTTCTGATGTTATTTCTGAGCCTGTTGCTCCAGAGACTGTTGGATCAACAGCTGTTGTTGCCTTAGTATGTTCTTCACATATTATAGTTGCAAACTGTGGTGATTCAAGAGCAGTTTTATGCCGCGGCAAGGAGGCCATGGCATTGTCTGTTGATCACAAAGTAAGGCATGCTCTCTCTCTCTCTCTCTTATTCCACATTAAACCACCCACCAATCTCTTTTTACATTTTTTTCAAATCTTTTGCAGCCAGATAGAGAAGATGAGTATGCAAGGATAGAAGCATCTGGAGGCAAGGTTATACAGTGGAATGGACACCGTGTATTTGGTGTTCTTGCAATGTCAAGGTCGATTGGTAGGTGTAAATTTTCGATGGTGCCAAGTGTCTTTTTTCATTTTCCTTAATAGGAAGGTTGACATCTTGTGTTTAGTTCAGAAAATAAAACTTTTTTTTTTTTGGAAAATAAAACAGTTAAATGAGATTCAGTAAGTAATTATTGGAATGATCCTATGCATTTACAGAGTTTATAGGCATTTATTTTTTTTATTGGTTTTTCATGTTGTAAGCATATGACATCTGTTGATAGGCCACTGAATTTAATGTCCGATCCAAATATGAACAATGGATGCTTTACCAAGCTTCATTTCTTTTTCTCTTTTTACTCTTTCTTTTTCCTGTGTCGCTGGCAGGGGATAGATACCTGAAACCATGGATAATTCCAGAACCAGAAGTGATATTTCTCCCTCGTGCGAGAGAAGACGAATGTCTTATTTTGGCTAGTGATGGATTGTGGGATGTCATGTCAAACGAAGAAGCTTGTGAAGTGGCTCGAAGGCGGATTCTACTGTGGCACAAAAAGAATGGCGTACCATCTCTTGTGGAGAGGGGGAAGGGGATTGATCCTGCAGCCCAAGCAGCTGCTGATTACCTCTCAATGCTTGCTCTTCAGAAGGGAAGCAAGGACAACATCTCTGTGATTGTGGTGGACTTGAAAGCTCAAAGGAAATTTAAGAGTAAATCTTGATACCGTAATCACTCATGATCTCATTCTAAGTCTATATACCTACATTGGAGAAAAAAAGTACATCTAATGGAAATACATAGCTAAGTCCATTCCTTTTTCTCATGGGCGTATTGCATGTCCAAGAATAGAAATCATTATGTGCTTCAGCAACTGTACCTGAATGCAATATTTTGCTTGTGCTTTGATATGCAAATTACCAACTTACAGTTTCTGTAGGTCTCATGTGTAACAAGTTTGGAGATCCTCCATTATTCAACTTTCTTCTTTAATGTTAAAGGGATAGCTAATGCAGCCGCATGTGAGGGTCAAAACCCAAATCCCACAAAGAAATGGAAACAAGTTGTTGGAATCATTGATGAGGAAAAATTTGGTCCAAAAACCCAAATCCAATTGATCTTTCTTCTCTCTTAGAATGCAAAACTTGAGAAACCCAAACAAATTATTAAGGAATCTCGTTTCTAAACTCTACAAAAAAAGCCTTCCCATCTCCTTGTCTGAATTAGATTAATCAAAGTTTGGGCTTGTTGTTTCGGCAATCAAGAACTTTTGAGCTAAACCATCACACTAATGTTAGTTCCAATATAAAGGGAGTCAAATGAACCATGGACATACATCCAAACAGTGATAACTAATAAGATGCAAAAAAGGAACATGCTTTGCCTCTTCGAAACCAGATTTCACAATCTTGACCTATCTATCCTCCCTTCTAAAACAATGGGATTTCTTCAATGACCAGAGGATTATGTCTGATGGTTTGCCAGCAGCATTTTGCTATAACAGACCAAGAGTGACACAGTAAGATTCGAGTCATGACATTAACTATTTGTTCATCCCTATTCAAGTCTCTCTTATTAACAGACATTTTCCTAGAACAACTACTACTGCCTTCTGAAAAATTACAAACACAACTCTTGTATCAAAACCTGCTTTTGTGGCACAATTATCCGTACAAAGATAGCCTATATTTCTCAAATATTCATTTGTTCAAAATAATGCAAGAAAAAGTAACTGTTTGCTAGTCCAACTGAACACTTGTGTCAATTCATGTAGTGACCATTCCAATGGCAAACCAAAAGTTCTAAAGCAAAGCCGGCAAGAACCAGAATCACCTGCTTGTGCCCGACTAGCACAATCTCATTCCAATAAATATCACAATAATCTTTAAGGAAAAAAAGCTACTTCATTGGTACCTCCAAAAAATTGCTAACAAAAAGTGACCATTATAAATAGATGATTTAACAGAGCTGTTTCCACTCTGTTCCTAGCACTAAATTTATGCCCAAAGATTAAGCATAAATTCATCATTATTTCATTTCTTTTTTTATTTTAATACAACAGCAACACAATTAACAAAAATTTTACCATCTAACGTCGCCGCCTTTGCCTTACTGATGGAAACTTTAAAGGTACAGGAAGTGTAGCAAACAACAAGCTTTTCTCACGTGAGAACTTGCACCCTAAGTTCTCAAAATGTGATCTTAATGTGATAGGACTCATCCTTAGGTCCTTGGCTATATCAGATGGATCAGTCCGGAATTCATCAACATGTAGAGTGAGCACCAACACATAACTAATGAGAAGATTGATTTTATCAACCGGTAGCCTTTTTGATCCTGCTTCAGAAAAAACTGAAGAAAACCTATTGCGTAAAATGTTCGGGATCTTGTGGTCTTTTGCTGAGGAAAAACCATCCAGGGAATACAGGTCTTTGAACTTAACAAGATGACCAATAAATGAGAAAATGCAAGCACGTGTCTTCTTCTCTGTCTCGTCCTATTAACATAGGCATAACAACTATAGAGATTATTAAGCTTCAATAAGTAGTTAACAGAGAAAGAAACTAAACAAGGACAATGGCTAATGTGGAAGCATGATTAATCTTGACATAAAAATAATAAATTTGTCTCACCAAGTTTGCCTTTTAAGATCAAATAACCACCAGTTGGCTTTTTTTTTTTTTTTTTTTTATAAAATAAACCACCAGTTAACTTTCATTGAACCTTTTCATATGAGGCATGCTTAAATATTCATTGGAAGTCAAACTCCATTGATCTATAGTACTGCAGTGCACCTTACAGAAAACTTGTTAAATGGAACTCTTATGAATATTGAATGTAAAAATTTATTCTAAAGTGCCTAGTTCAGCATATTAACAATATGTGGTCTACATGTTATACTAGTAAAAAAGCTTTTGCATACATGGGATTTACAATAAAACTGAAAAAGTGCAATCTGCATCAATTTATTGTGATGTTAAGAATCTTACACTTTACCTTAATATCATGCAATTTATAGATTCTGTTGCGAATGAAAGCTGGACATGAATCAGTAGCTACTTCCCTTCCTATTTGCAAAAGCTTATAAATATCTTCAAGGTAAGCCCACTCTCCATTGAGAATGATTTTATCCAATGGATATGCATCCTTCGGATCGGTGGCAGAAGAGTCATATGGAGGGATATTTCGAGCAATAAGAGCATTAGAACTTTCAAGAGCCTCCATATTTATCTCCACTTCTTTAATTTTGCTGTCTAGAATCTTCTGAGATTCAGGATCATCTCCTTGGTTCAAGGCCCTCCTCTTTTTTGCCTGTATGATACAAAGCAAAATACAATTCAGTCCCTCCAAAAATCAACTGAATTTAGGATGATGTTCATTAAATTCATTTTTATCTTAGGAATGTCTATTACCATCAATGAAGCCTGGAACGTAGCTCCTTACACCCAATGGGCTTATTTATTATGGTATTATAAACAGAAAGCCCTGATGTTCATACTAAAAAAATGCTGAAGAGAAGCCTAATGTAGCATGACAACTCAGTCCAAATATAGGCCCACTACTATATAGCTTCTTACAGAATCAATCTGGTATCTTATTAAATCTGCTGCTCCTAAATACATTGAGATGTATCTTCCCCAGTAAAATTAGTGCTAAACAAATTAAATAAAATTTGTTGCCATCCAAAAAAACAAAATCCATTAAATACCAGACAGGTAAGAACACTAGTTGATAAATCAGACTAGGTATGCTATAAATCATTTCATTAGTAGGCATCTAAACATACACGAATACCCCCACCAAATTTTGTTCAAAACAACTTCTTATGCCAAAGTTTTCTTATAGTGTGTGTGTACATATATATGCATAGCCACGCAGAGAGGGAGAGAATATACAATCCAAAATTGTGCGTATGAAAAATGGCATACCTGGCTGATAGATTTCTTAGTCCCATAAAGATTAGTAAGCTCTCTCATCCTGTCGGCCCTCTGCTCAGCAGAGAGTTCAGTCTTAACTGAAACTGAAGAAGGTTCCTTATCATAGTCTAGACCTCCAACCCTTGGTTCCAATCTGATTATCTACAACCAAACCCAAGCCATATAAGATTATATTTTCTTATAAAAATATGCATGATCAAGAAGCAACAGTAACCAAGGAAAGAAATGTGGTATTTCATATCCATGGTCCACATTTCAGTGTCAAGACGCAAACTTAAAAGCAACAGTTCCTCTAACATATTAAGGTTCAATGTATCAGATAAGCATATTAAGGATTCAAGGAACAAACTCACATATTCATTGATATTGACATAAACTAACCAAGCTAACTAACAAACTCCAAATATAATAAGGTCCTTATGTCATAAGGCTAACCTACTGCTATGTTGTAATTAAATCTGAAACTCTAAAACTGAAATATGTAAAAAAAGAGAGTATCAAAATACATAATCCTTTGTGTGGCTTTTCAAGCAACTTCATTGTATTTTCTAACCCGTATATAATTACTACTAATTATCCCATAAGTAAGACTAAGAAAAATGTGAAAAACCACATGTGCAACATAATAAAACACATCAGACAAGCAAAAGCCTTCACATAATTCCTAGGAGAAATAATGAACTCCAAAGTTCCAAGCTAAAATACAAAGGAAAACAGAAATTTCCCCAGCCTTTCCTTTGTAATATGACAAAGAAGTTACCTTGTTAGAAGCAATAGGTACAATCTTCAAAGTGTTGGTCTCCTTGTCAAGAACCCCAAGCGTGTAGACACAGACCTGCCTCGTAGCGCCTTCGCCAGCAAAATTGGAACCTACAAACTCCACTTTTGAACCAGGTGGGCTCACCACAACCTGCAACCTGTTGCTCTTTTTCTCAACCTTGTTCCTGTAAATTTTAACCCTAGGTGCTTCTAAATTCTTGTTCGGCGATTGATCATTAACACCATTATTGTAAGTTTCTTGGTTTCGTTGAGTTTCGACAACTGGGTTATACCCAGATGAGAAATATGCTACTACAGGAGGGACCTTATCAGGCTGCGCTGTGATATACTTGATTGTCGCATGGATTTCTTCTCTCTTTTCTTCCTCCCCGTCATGCTTCCTCTCTCTCTTCCTTTTTTTACTTGATTTCTTGCTTATGGTTTCTGGTGATTTTGTATCTTCTCTTTCTTCTTGCATCTCAGGGTTTTGAACGAACTCCATCTGCTCAGTTTCCCCTCTGTTTCTCCCAGAAACCCGAGATACCCCCTACAATCCTCTGATTCTCTCTAATATGCTCCTCTCTCTAGGCTCCCTCTTATTCGAAACAGAATTCCTCCTCTTTACCCTCGGATTCTCGCTCCTCTATAGGCCAATTCTTAGTTTTCTTGACCCGCTCAGCCCTCCACTGCTCTCCCTTCCTCTGATTTCACGTGCAAATTTTCCTTTTCCTACAGGCGTGCTCGTGCCTCCCGAGCCTGCTTCTTTGTCTTCTTCCTCTTTGCAGGAGTCAGCCGTGCTACTTCGTTCTCCAGCTCAGTTTCTAGTTACCTCGCTCTTCCTCTGCTTGGTAACCCTAAGAGCCTTCTTTTATAGATTCTGTTCCTCACGGGCGATGTGGGCTTAAGATTATTGGGCCAAGAGTATGGGCTGGATTGAATTTATATTGTCAGTTTTTTTGGGTCTTCTAAAGCGTAAATTAGGTTTATGATTATCTTATCTACAGGCTTAGTACTATATTAATGTCGAACCTTTTTTCCCTCCCTCCCAAAAAGTTGGCTACAGTGAATATGATTATATCTGACAAATAATTACAAAAACATATTACGAACAAATCAATTCATGAATGAAGGAGTTTCTGTTTATAAATTTAAAATAAGATTAAAAAAAAGTTTAATTTACTGATATCATGATGAAAATGCAATTATTAAATTAGTTAATTTTCAGTGTGTAACGTTTGTTTGAACGAAGGAAATATCTGATTTAACCTAATTTCCACCAAATTAGGCATATAATTCATTTTTCCTTTCTGATAAAGATTTGCTATTAATGAGTTTAGATTACAAGAGACTGCAAGGTTCCTTAATTTGTAATTTTAATAAACGAATCAAGCCGTGTAAAATTGTAGAAATACATTTCAACCCACAGAAAATAATCAAAAAAAAAAAAAAAAGAGCCAGCAACCGGTTTGAAGAGTTATATTAAATTGCTGCCATTACTTTGAGCTTTAGGTGATTAATGGCAGAGATCAAAACGTAAAGCCCCATTAATTTATTAACGCGTCATCTTCAGCAAGAAGCTGCCTTTTTTTTCCATCTTGCATCTCCCTCGTCGAACTTGACAGGTAAGTTGATTCTCACACTTTCTTTCCCTCTCTCTTATCTTTCCATTTTTTACTGTGTTGAAGCTCCCGGTTTTGCATGAAGTTACTGCTCTACTTGTACGGTTTCTTCTTCCATTACAGTTCTTAGTGGGTTTGCTTGAAATTGCCTCCTTGAAAAATATGGCTTATCTTTCATTCCCCCCTGTTTGGTTGAGCTTGTCTTGATGATTTTTCCGTACGTCCTCTGCTAGCTCTCTTTTTTTGTTTTTGTTTTGTTTTGTTTTTTTAAGATGGGGCTTCTCTCTACTTTCTATTTAAATATGTGATTATATATATCTATATCTTCGATTTGTTCTTCTAAATTTCATGTCGAATGAAAATATTTGCTTATTTTGCATTCAAATGTAAGGGTATCTTTCTGGGGTTTGGGCAATTTTCTCTCCCCTTGCGTGCTATCGCAGAAGAGTTTATTCCGGTTGTAATTTGGGGTAGTTGATGTGTTGCTTTACTGGTATAATTTAAATTTATAAAAAACTCTAGTTGGCCCATCCGCTTTACTTGTAAGGAATGAGAAGCTGGTCTCTTTTCGATTGCTTTTTCTTTTCATTTTATTTACTTTCTGTATGCTTGAACTGATTCCAAGTTAATGTCCTAAAATCATATTGTGTTTTATTAGCTTTTCTCAAGTTGATTTGCATTGATTTCATTCTTCGTTTGAGACCTGCAGAGGTGGGAAGTTGAGCAAGGTTACTTGTACTTGTCTTTCCTCAGGGATTGAATTTCACAGGGTTGGAGTTTGACAATGCATTAAACTTATATGGAAATCTTTCAACTCATTTTCTCTTTTTGCATCTACCTAAGTTGAAAGTACCAGCCACAGTTGATTTCTCTATTTATGATAGGCACTGGAAAGATTTATTTTTCTCATCCCTTCTAGCTATTTTCTGGGTTATAGCCTACATTTTCGAAGTTATGGTTTAGTGGTTGCTCACCATCTGATTTTTCTGTGTTGACGGATCTCATAGATATTTTCATTCACACCTAACTATATTGTACATTCGTGACACTCCTTAGTGCCTTGTGATAAATACTACCTTTTTCTTTGTTAAAAAAAATGTTCCTGTACCAATGATGACTGTTTTGGTCTAATACAACTGAGTATCTCCCTGTATTCTTGGATGTGGTGAGTTTGTTTGCTTCACCCCTATGGTACATCTGTTAGTCCTTTAAGGTGCTGGAAGAATTAGCAAAAGTATTAATGAGAATAGATTGATAATTATGGTGTACCTAATTGTTACTCCTAACTTTGGTATTTGCTTGAATTCTATTGTGCTTTGTGTAAGCAGTTGTTATGATTTTAAATTCCTCGGAGCTAAAAAAATGCAAACTTATCATTTTTCGCATATTATATGATAGTTAACATGTCCTGTGTTTGGTCGATCCCCTAGTTCCTAACAGAAATTTGCTTGTTTTACCTTTGGAACAATCATTCTTTTCCTGTAGCAACTTTCTTTCTTTCCTCCTTTTTCTTAGAAAGGTGCTATCTTGCATAGTTGTTGTAAATAAACATCTGGAGAAGTTCTGGGATTTCTTTCAGCGAATATTCAGCTTGATAATTCTCTAAACAAATCAATGAACTAGGATACATTCAAAAGGGTAAGCTTATTGGAGCAGTTACTTCTTCCGTCTACCTTACTCCCTCCCCCAAATGGCATAGAACATCCTGTCCTACTCACTCTTTACTACTTCTTGATAACATGGATGTTTTTATGTTGCAGAATTCCATGAAAGGGCAGAGAAAGAATTTTAAGAAACCAATATACTAGTGGAATTGCGGGAGGCCGGGACATATGGATCAGAGTACTTTTATATTCCTGTTTATATATATATATATAGAGATATTTTATTTTTAATTTTTCACCTCAGTGTTGCAACATGCAACTGTTTTGTGCTAGCTTAACTATTATGAGGCCTCTTTTAGTTAGTATTTTTGCTTATGAGCTTAATGGTGTTTTAATTGATGTGCATGCAATGTTTGTATGTTATCCCTATTCATGATAATTTGAGTTTCTAAATAAAGAGCTATGATGATGGAGGCCATTGAATAAAGATTTAACAAGATCTTTTTCTTAATTGCTCAACCTACTTTGTTATATCGAAACCAATGTACTGTTTCTCTTTTGGGTGATTGAAACCAAAGGACTTATTGAGACATCTGGGAATAAAATCTATAGGGGCGCATAAGTCCTATTTTTTGAAGCTTGATACCAATCATTAATGTCATGTCATGTTTGTGGAAAAATTGGAATTTTGCTTGTTGATGGGTCGTCATTCTCCAAATTAATTTTCTGTTGTTCAGGCTTTTTAACTCATTCTGGTCACTATAGTTGAAAGGTATTAATTTAATCAATGGAATTCCTCTATAGTGTGTGAGATTACTACTTCATTCTAATTGAATCAAATTTGACCATATTGCTCCCTCCTCTATAAGTTAACTTGAACACTGAGGTTTAGTGTAACAGTTTTATGGATATGTGTTGGTTCTATTTATATATTATCCTGGCACTTGATTTTTTAAGATGATTTTTAGTGTTGGATAAATTTAAGTGAAAGTGGTTTGTGGGGCACTAACATCAAAGATCATGTGCTATAAAGACTGACTGAGGTTAAGGTTTGTGAAATTTTGAATTGGTTGATTACCCACATACAGGTTGCTTTGGGGAAAAATACTCAAGCAAGTAGTCTTTTGGGTCCAACAAGAAGTTAGACAATTAGATGTGTGTGCTTTCTTCTTTTTTAGGGTGTAAGAGTTAAAGAGTATTGAATATTTTCTTATATCTTATTGAAATGAGAGTAAGGATATATATATATGTAAATGGGTAATCAACATAAATGACCCTATTAATTTTTTTCCTAATTATATTAAAATATTTAGAAATATAATTATACTATTATGTACAGAGAATATTTTAACACTCCCCCTCAAATTGGAGTATAAATATTAATCATGTTCGGTTTATTCCGAAAATACTCAATTCATATTTCATTCAGAGGCTTTGTGAATATATCACTAAGTTGTTTTTCTGTTTTTACATAACTAGTAGATAGAAAGTTTTCTTGAATTTTCTCTTGGATGAATTGACAATCAATTTCGATATGTTTGGTTCTCTCATGATACACATAATTTGAGACAATATGAAAAACAGTCTGATTATCGCACTAGAGTTTTACTGGAGATGTGGGTTTCAAATCCACTTCATATAAAAGATGATATATCCATAAGATTTTACATGTGGATTGGGTCATAAGTTTATATTCAGACTCTGCACTTGAGTGAGATGCTATTGTTTGATTTTTACTTTTACGTAATACGAGATTCCCACCAACAAAAACACAATAGCTTGTAGTAGATCTCCTTTTAATTTTAAATCTATCCCATTCAACATCTGTAAAACATTCAATATGAGTATGTCCATGATTTTTAAATACTATGTCGAGTCTTATGACACCTTTTAAATAACACAAAATCTGTTTCAAAACCTCCTAATGTTTGACTGTAGGTGCAGACAAATTGACTTGCAACACTGATAAGATATGCAATATCTGAACGAGTTACGGTGTGGTAATTCAATTTCCCAACTAGTTGCATGTATTTTTCTAGATCATCAGGGAGATCACCATCATCTTTTGTAAGATGTAAACTTGGTATCATAAGTGTATTGCATGACTTAGCTCTCAACTTTTCTGTTTCTGTAAGTAGATCAAGTACATACTTCCTCTAATATGACAAAATTCATTCCTTACTTCTCGTTATTTCAATTCACAGAAAGTATTTTAGCTGTCCTAAATCTTTGGTATTGAACTTGGTATGGAAGAATGACTTGAGAGAGGATATTATTTTCTTTAATCATAATAACGTCAATATAAACAAAAAGAAGTATAATACCAACTGTTGATTGTTTATAGAAGACTGAATGATTATACTTTCTTTTCTTTAATCCGAACTCACAGATTAGCTCACTAAACTTGTCAAACACACACGGGGATTCTACTTCAAACTATACAAATTTTTTTTAAATAACAGACTTTTTCGTACTCTTCCTAAGTAACAAACCCAGGTGATTGCTCCATATATATTTCTTCTCAGAGATCATCATGAAAAAATGTATTTTCAATGTTTAGCTAGCGTAAGGGTTAGTCTCTAGAGGCTGTAATAAATATGAATAAGTGGACAGAAATAAGTTTGGCCACTTGCGAGAATGTATCA